AAAAAAAAAAAAAAAAAAATTCAAGTGATTAGTTTGAGCTCATTTAAAGTCAGATCAGATCAATTGTAGTATCAATAGATTTCTCTCGCCAAAACATTCAGCTTGATTATAATTTTGTGCGAAATAAAGTTCAAATGATCCTGAATTGAATTATGAAAGCTTTCAATTCAAATACTATGATCTCTTAAAATTCATGGAGTCCTATCAATCTTATAATATTTTATCAATTATAATTTTAAGAAAATTTCTTATATTTTTTCTTAAGTTGATTATTATCAAAAATATTTTTTATGACTAATTTGTTAATTATCTTGTTATAGAATAAATTTAATATAAATAAATAGAGTTTTAAATTTATAACATGTATATTTTAATTTTCTAAATTTTATTCATGTGTATTTGACGGTCATATAATTACGGTAGTGGGTGTATAAGCCGGAGTCCACGTGGTTTCATCCCGGCCAACTCTCGCGATCATTTTCGTGAAGGTTGCCTCGTCAGCTCGAATAAGGCCACAAGTCATTCGCTATTAAAGTTGACGGTTTGGAAATAGGCCTAGTGGCTTGTATTTTCTTCAATAATTCACGTGAAATCCTAGCTTCCTTTTGCTCCCATGTACCTTTCTTCATCGTATGCCAAAAATCTGCTCCAGGTGTATGTAAGTGACTTAAGCATACTGCTTTAAGCTAAGTTAGATAAAACTAATGGTGTTAAAATCGGGTCACGGGTCGGATTAGTGTCGAATCGGAGTTGATCAGTGTCTAAACGGGTCAACCGAACACGACATATTTTTTGCAGACCGGTCAAGTTTTTTGATATGGACTTGACCCGTGTGGGTTACCGGGTTGACCCTACCGAACCCACGGACCCGTTTGATTCAAAAAAATGGGCGAGTCGACCACAAGGCGGCATGGCGGGCAGCACGGCTGGCCAACTAGCGCTTGACAGAGTCGTGGAGGACCAGCTGGGTCGCGCGAGACGACGACAATGAGAAGTCGAAGCAAGTGACGCAACAACAGCCAGTCACACGACGTGGCACGAGCAGACTGGTAGTGATGCGACGCAGGTGGTCAGACGCGGTCAGTGCTGACAGGGAGCTATTTTTTTGGGTTAACCCGAGTTGAGTTCGACTTTTCTGGTCAACCTGAATCAAACCTGTTTTTTTCAAATGTGTTGAATTCGGAACTCAAACCACGACTAGTTTTGAAATCAGGTCAGGTTTAACCCAAAATTTTATGACCGGATTTCAATCAAATTTTCATATAGTGTAAAATATTAACACCCTAGGTAAGCCTAAGAGTTTAACTTCAGAAGAACTATTACTTGCAAAATCCGGATCGAGATAATAGTCCTATTTATTCAGTATATTCAGTAAATACTAAACACTACACAGATGATAAGTAAAATTTTTGCTTGATTATTTTTCGGAAGAATTATACTTATATATTGAGTAATTTGTAAAAAAAAAAAAAAAAAAAAAAAAAAAAAAATTTGTAAAAAAAAAAAAAAAAAAAACAGAAAGAAAAACTAAGGATCCCACGCGTCCACCGTCTTTTCCTGTAAATCTCCACGCGTCTTCTTCTTCCTCCCCCAAACAAATAACATAGCTCGAAGAGTAACAGCTCCAGTGCGCGAGCGACAGAGAGCAATGGCGGTGAACATTACATCGATAAAGACCGCATCAAACGGAATATGGCAGCACGACAACCCGCTCAACTTCGCCTTCCCTCTCCTAATAATTCAAACAACACTCATCCTTCTTCTCAGCCGCGTCCTCTCCTTCCTCCTCAAACCCCTTCGCCAACCAAAAGTTATCGCCGAAATCATCGGCGGAATATTATTGGGTCCTTCCGCCCTCGGCCGTAACTCAGCTTACATGAACCGCCTCTTCCCACCATGGTCCACTCCCATCATGGAAACAGTCGCCAGCGTCGGCCTCCTCTTCTTCCTCTTCCTCGTCGGCCTGGAACTCGACATTCGCTCCATACGCCGAACTGGCCGCCGCGCATTCTCCATTGCGGCGGCGGGAATCTCCCTACCCTTCGCCGGCGGCGTCGGTGTAGCTTTCGTCCTCCGCAACAAAGTTCCCGGCGCCGATCAAGCCGGTTACCTTCCGTTTCTCGTCTTCATGGGCGTGGCGCTCTCCATCACCGCCTTCCCAGTCCTCGCTCGCATCCTCGCCGAACTAAACCTCCTCACCACCCCACTGGGCGAAACCGCGCTCTCCGCCGCAGCGTTCAATGACGTGGCAGCGTGGGTCCTACTCGCCCTCGCCGTCGCGCTTTCCGGCGCCGGTCAGCACACAAGCCCGTTGGCTTCGGTTTGGGTTCTGCTCTCCGGGCTCGGCTTCATCGCCGTTCAGATATGGCCCGTTAGACCGGTGATGACGTGGGTGGCGCGGCGGGCGGAAGAGGAAGGTGTGGAGAGCGAGGCTTGGATATGTCTTACGCTGGCCGGAGTCTTAGTCTCCGGCTTCGCCACCGATTTTATCGGCATACATTCTATATTTGGCGCGTTTGTGTTTGGACTAATGGTTCCAAAAGAAGGGGAGTTTTGCGGGAGGTTGATGGAGAGAATTGAGGATTTTGTGTCGGGGTTGCTGCTGCCGCTTTACTTCGCGTCGAGCGGGCTGAAGACGAACGTGGCGGCCATAAAGGGAGCGGAGGCGTGGGGATTGCTGGCCCTGGTGGTTGGGACGTCTTCTGTGGGGAAGATAGTGGGGACCTCTGTGGTGGCGGTGGCGTGCCGGATGCCGGTGAGGGAGGCGATTACGCTAGGAGTCTTGATGAATACTAAAGGTCTCGTGGAGCTCATTGTTCTCAATATTGGCAAAGAAAGGAAGGTATTTTTGGTTTTTTTTTCTCTAAAATTTTATTTAAGGTAATTTTTGTTTGTGTGCATGAATTAGTATTTTAGGTTGATCATTATTCAACTCAAATAGGCAAATATTCAAAAAAAAAAAAAGATAATTAAATTCATGATTAAAAATTTATTTTAAGAAATTTGTCTAAATTTTTTAATTTAATAAAATTTTAATTTTTTATTTCTCCTTTAAAATTAATACAATACAAATTATTTATGCATTACATTTTTTTTTAGAGAAAATACATTAGTATTAAAATACATAATAATTTTTATTTGAGCTTATCTTACCGACATAAATTTTTTCCTAAATTAATAGAAAAGAGTTTCATGAATTGGCTAAGCTAATACAATTTAATGAACATATCTAGCTAATTAAAGTATTTTTTTATTTAATTTCCAAAATTAACTATAAATTAGCTCTATTCATACTCTGTATGATTCAAATATCAAATTTAATTTAAACCTATAAATAAAATTTGTAGACAAAGCATTTTTTATTTATTTTGAAATATATATATATATTTTTTTATTTCTAATCAGGGATACGATTATTCAATCGATAAATAATAATTTTTTGTTAGAACAAATTATATATATTTTTATTTGGAACAACACTTTGTATGATTATAGATTAAAAAAATCAAAGAGAAAGCCGAAATTTTCTGAAATTATAATTATTATCATTAACTTATCGAACCATTTTTTTTTAAATTATAATATTCATAAATTATTTCAAAGGGCACCAAAACTTGCCAAATTGGAGTGCGCTCTCTTAACTATTTTGGGATTAAAATAAAAAGATCCTCTAACTTGAAAAATTGTCCTATCCATGAGGTGAAATTATTTTTTTTTTTAAATTAGAATATTATCATATTTTTACGTATTTATTTTCTGTTATTTGACGATAGGTTTTAATATTATTTCCTAATAAACTTCATTAATGTGTCACACGTGTCATCTTCTTGAGTCCAGAAAATTGATCATTATTTTTTTTTAATTTTTTTTTTTACGGTTGTCCAAGTTACTAAAAAAGATTAAAGAAAGATGATTTGGACCCGGAGAAAATGTCCCGTGACAACCTATTTCCTAATAAACTTCATTAATTAGTCAAACTATTTGAATGTTTTTCATTAAAAAAGTCATTTTTTCCTTAATAGTTAGTTCCAATTTATTACAAAATTTGCATTATTTAAAAAATGAGAATGGACAAATGTATAAGATACAAAGATACGTCCTAATATTTTTTACTTTAAAAATACAACCTACCTGATTTAAATAGTATTTTCTTTAAAATTGCATAACATAAGTTGATCAATGAACAATTTTAAATTTTATGTAAAACATGAATAAATTACTATTTAATATTAAATAAAGTAAATAATAAAAATGATTTTTTAAAAAATGTTTAAGCAAAGGCAAAATAGCTCTTTTAACCCTCCATTTATCCACTAATGGTTTGTTAAGCGTATGATTAGTTAATCTTAGAACTTATCGCCTATTAACCTAGTTTGAAATTTTTTAATGAGTCCTTAATTAGCTAATGACATTGCTAATGATGCTAAGTGAAAATGTGGGTATTCACACAACTCTCCTTGGCCTATTGGTTGAGAGCTTAGGCTTCCAACTAAGAGGTCCAGGGTTCGAGTCTATGTGTATGCGTTGTGTGTGTGAGTTTGCCTTAAATGGCCTAAATGTCCCAAAAAAAAAAAAAAATGTGGGTATTCAATAGAAATAGAATTAACCAAATTATTTGGTGTATTCAGAATTAGCCAATTACTTTGACTAATTATATAGAATTAGCCAAACTTTTTGACTTTTTCAATTAAAAATGTCAAATAATTTGACTAATTTGATTCTTTTTAAATTTTTATAAAATTTTGCTCATTCAGATAATTTAAATTTTGACCATTCTACTTAAAATGTATTCTAGTTAATATCTAAGTTTTATTATAAAGGTATTAAAATAATGGACAATAGAAAATATAATTGAATTATAGATAAAAAATTTAATTTAAACATAATTTTATAATATAAAACTAAAATTTTATAATTATATTAATCTTTTTTTATAATGTTTTTTTTTTCAATCGCAATGGATTATTTTAATTTTTAATATTTTAAAATTCAACTATTGTAGGTACTGAACGACGAGATATTCGCCATCATGGTTCTGATGGCCCTGCTAACAACATTCATCACTACCCCAACAGTCTTGGCGCTCTACAAGCCCGCCCGCTCGACCAATCTCCCGAACCAGCGGAAACTTCAGCGCTCTGCCGCTTCCTCTCCTTCCTCCGTCGTCGACGACTCACAGGAACTCCGCATCCTTACGTGCGTTCACGGCCCCCGTGACGTCCCCGGCCTCATCAACCTCATCGAAACTATCCGCTTCGCCACCCCTAAATCCCGTCTCAAGCTCTATATACTCCACCTCGTCGAGCTTACAGAACGCTCCTCTTCCCTAACCATGGCCCGCCGTGCCCGCCGCAACCGCCTCCCTTTCCGTAACCCGCTCCGTCGCGACTCCCCACGCGACCAAGTCGCGGTCGCATTCGAAGCCTACGCTCAAATGGGCCGCCTTCGGGTCAGGCCCATGACTGCCGTCTCTGCCATGCTCACCATGCACGAAGACGTCTGCGCCGTCGCCGACGAAAAATGCGTTTCGCTCCTCATTTTACCGTTCCACAAACGCTGGCTTGGCGGCGAGGTGGAGAACTTGGGGCATGCTTGGCGGGCTGTGAATCAACGTGTTCTGAGAAATGCACCGTGCTCTGTTGCTGTGTTGGTGGACAGGGGGCTCGGGCGGGCTGGGTCGGCCCGAGAAATCTGCGTCGTGTTTTTGGGTGGGCCGGACGACCGCGAGGCGCTCGAGCTCGCCGGGAGAATGGCGGAGCATCCCGGCGTCGGCGTCACCGCCGTAAGTTTCGTTTCTGAGGGGCCTAACATCACTCTCCGGCCGTCGGAAAAGAAAAGCTCGGAGGAGAGGTACACCTTCTCGACGGCCGTGATGGACCGGGAGAGGGAGAAGGAGTTGGATGAAGCGGCGGTGGCGGCTTTTCGACGGCGGACGGATGGTGCGGTGAAGTTCGAGGAAAGGGAGACGGGAGCGGCGGGTGTGCTTGAGACGGTGCTGGGTATTGGGCGGAGTGGTCGGTACCAGGTGGTGGTGGTGGGGAAGGGGAGGTTTCCATCAGTGACGGTAGCGGAGCTCGCAGGAAGGGTGGCGGAGCACCCGGAGCTTGGGCCTGTGGGGGACGCGCTGACTTCTTCGGCAAGCGGGGTGGTGTCGTCGGTGCTGGTGATTCAACAGCACGACGTTGTTCATTCCGAGGAGACGCCAGTCTCCATGGTTCTGAACGGCGAGGCGAAGGTCATTGATGTGAAGGAGGAAGTTTCTGGGTGAGATTTTAAACGTTGGATTTCTCTAGGTTTTCTTTCTGACCAATTATATGGTGTCGACATAAATAAATTGAGGTTATTTTAGTGTGTGTAAGTAAATATGGTGTCGACATAAATAAATCAATAGAAGATCCCATATTCTCATAGGAAGAGCTGTTAATGTTATTTTAGTGTGTGTAATTGTAGTTTTGTATATTTTCATAGTATATCTTAATTATACTTGCTGATGAAGACTTATATATTTCAATCCAAAATGAGAACTCTCTCTAAGGAGAAATTATTACTTGCGAAGTTCGGACATAGCTCACGTCGGAATTCAAATAAAATAAAATAAAATCATAGTTTGTACACCTCTATGTATGCACAATTCACATGGCTTCCAAACTCAACTGTCCCACTGATATATCTAAGAATCCTCTTTACTGCAAGCCAATGAGACTCTCTCAGACTCTCTATGAATCTGCTCAAGATGCCCACACTATATATACACAATGTTAGGTCTTGTCACTTTCAAGTATCTGAGTCTCCCAATTAAACTTTTGTACAATGATGAATCAATCAATTTTTCATTCTCCTTCTTTTGTGAAATGAACTCCAACTTGCATTGTTGTTGACACACTATTATAATGATTCATCCTGAACTTCTCAAGCAACGCTTTTGCATACCTCTTTTGACATGTCCAAATGTCATCATCTTTCTGATGCTCTTCTACACCCAAAAATAATGACATAAGACCAACATTTGTCATATCAAATTTTTTAAACATAGTTGATTTAAAGTATGCAATCATCTGCTCATCATCACTTGTTATAAGCAAATCATCCACATATAAGCATATAATTAATCTATTGCCATTTGAGTCTATCTTCATATACACACTGTGTTCATAAGGGCATTTAGTGAACCCTTCTTCTCCAAAATGCCTATCAATGCATAAATTTCAATCTCTCGGGGCTTGCTTCAAGTCATACAAAGCCTTTTTCAAACGATACATCATATGTTCTTTTCCCTTCACAATAAAACCTTCTAGATAATCTATAAATATTTTTTTCTCCAAAACACCATTCAAGAAAACCGACTTCACATCTAATTGATGAAACTGTCATTTATTCATAGCTGCAATGAAGAAAATTAATCTGACTGTATCAAATCTTGCAACCAATGCAAATACCTCTTCATAATCTATCCATTACTTCTGCTCGTACCCTTTATTTATAAGTCTAACCTTGAAATTGTTTACACCTCCATCAACATTCTTCTTCACTTTGTACACCCATTTAACACCAATGTATTTTTAACCTTTAGGAAGTGAGGCCAAACTCCATGAGTTATTTCTCTTAATGGCATCAATCTCCTCTTTCATGACATCCATCCATCTCTTATCTGTAACTGTCTCATTAAAAGTTAAGGGTTCTTTATCTACATATAAAGCAAATTGAGACAACTCCTCATTATAATTTATGTATTTCATTAATCTAGCTTTGTTATGGACGCCAATTTCATGACCTATTCCTCCTATTTTTATACACCTTTTTATAATTTTTTATGTGATAGTCACTCCACTCTTATAAATATTTAGATCTTTATCACATAAAATATAGAAAGAGAAAAACGCTAACAATTATTGAAAATAGGGGTGTCAATTTCGGGTCACGGGTCGGTTTCGGGTCGAACCCGAACTGACCCGGGTGGAAAACGGGTCAACCCTAACCCGACCCGGGTAGAGAAACGGGTCGAAAATCCGAACCCGGACCCGACCCGGCGGGTTGCCGGGTTGACCTGACACGACCCGGAACCGCGACGGCGGCAGCGCGCGGCAGCGCGCACGCGGCGGGGGCAGCGGGGCA